ATGTATGACCAAGGACAATAGGCACCAGTGGGGACTCCGTGAGCAAGAGGGTGATCTCCTCAGAATGGTTTCCTGAGGTTATGAGGGTGATAGGTCCCGTAGTGTGTGTGATACTGGGAAGGTTATGTCCATTGAGTGCATTAACAGAGATCTTGTGGCAGAGAGGAACTATGGGGATTTGAAGGTGAGATGCCCGACTGTAGTCCATGAAATTACCCTCTGCTCCGGAATCCAGCAGGGCTTGGCAGTTGTGGAATCGGGCTGCCCATTGTAGTCTTACCGAGAGGAGAGTTGAGGACGAGGATTTCTCCAAGGATAATCCACCCGACAGTAACCTCGGTTCTACTGTCGGGCTGGACAGTGAACCAGGATGTGCCCCTCAGAGCCACAGTATAGGCAGAGTCCCATAGCTCTCCGGCGGTTACTCTCCTCCCGGGAAAGCCGAGCTCTACCCACCTGCATGGGTTCGCAAGTGGATGTGGGGCTGACCGTCATACTGGAGTTGGCAGCGGAGACAACAGGAAGTCCCGACCTAAAAGTGGAACGACCTCGTTGCTCACCCCGCTGAAGACACGTGTCATCGCGAATGGCTAGATCGATCAGTCCATCAAGACCAGAGGGTAACTCCATTGCAAAAATCTCCTTCTGAACGCGGTCAGCCAACCCATACAAGAACATGTCCCACTGCGCCTCTTCGTTCCATTTACATTCCGCCGCCAGGGTCCGGAACTCGATGGAATAGTCAGAGACGGTCCTGTCCTCCTGCCGTAGTTCGGCCAACATGCGTGCGGTCTCACGACCCATCAACGCCCGATCAAAGACTCTGGTGTGGGTAGACGTGGCTCATGCTGACGCCCGATGCCTGTAGATGTAGAGGGAACCGGCGGTGGGAGTAGCGCAGTGGGTAAGCTCAGCTGTTGTAGTTGGAGCTCGGACACCTGCGCTACCAAGGCTTGCATCGCCCTTCCCGTAGCTAGCATCTGCTCCTCCTGACGATCCATGCGTGTATTGTTGTGGGATAAAAAGTTCTGCAGATCTGTAGCATTCGCTGAATCCATAATGTGCCACACCCACACACGGAGAGGGCTAGAATGAGTCAGTGAGCCCATGAACCGTGACAAACGCTGTATCCACCATTTTGTGGAAACAAATCAGTCAGGAGAGTAGATTAACTTTGGTGGACTTAAACTTGAAAAATAGTTTATTGACGTCTTTCCTGTTGAAATAAATTAACTTCTGATGTTCATTCATGTTTATTTTGTGCTTTAAGTAAATATGAAAAGATGATCTGTGTCACCGCGATGTATTTTTCACTGCGTGAGAACATGATGAGTAGTGTGAGAGCGGCAAGGCTTGACAGACATAGCAACAGTAACTAAGGGTGGCGGATCTTCGCAAAGGGTCAATTCTTTTAACTTGACACGGTGTCTTAAAAACACAGTGCTTATGTGCGAGACGCTGCAAAAAACACAAGACGTGAGCGCAACGGTTAAACAGGTCCATATAGTGTGTGTTTACATAGAAAATCTATAGAAAAGAAGCGCATTGGAATGGAAAAAAGAGTTCTGTGTAAACGGCTCCAAAACTACCAAAAGACCTTTAGTCTATTCAAAGAATAAACTAATATAAAGAAAAGAAAACAAGTTTTCCCTGAGGTTATGAAAGTGTGTGTGAGGCTCTTTCAAAACCATAATGCCTTTGACAGATCAGTAATTGAATACACACACTCTCAGAAAAAAGCTGTCACCGGGACTAGACCAAGATACAAAAGCCAAAAGGGACATCTTTGTACCTTATTTACCCCTAAATGGTGCATATTAGTATCTAAAGTCTACATATTAGCAGTGGTGGGTAGTAACTGATTACATGTAATCTGGGTTACATAATCAGATAAAAAAAATGAAGTACTTCTAATTAGATTGCATTGCATTTTAAAATACTCATAATCAGATTACAATTATAGATTACATAATTACATATTATTCACATAATGGCAGTAAATTATTCATAATTTATTATTTCACCCCAAATCTTTTTGCTTTTTAAAATGTTCTTTTCTAAATGAATCTACCACTTGCATAGTTTGGGAAACCTTGCAGTAATGTAATGCTTAATGCATTTCATGATGTTGATAAAGAATTGAATATTTTTTGGTATACAATCGCATTCAAGTCTATGTGATAAATGAATTAGGTCAAAAGTAATCAGAAAGTAGTCAGACTACATTATTTAATATGTGTAATCCAGATTATGTTACTAACTACAATTTTCGTCATATAATTTGTAATCAGTAATGGACTATAATTTGTCTACCATTTTCAAAAAAGGGTAGCTTTGTACCTTTTTGTTCTGAGAGTGTCTGAAGTCTACTCAATCCCCCGTCACGTTTCCCTTGAGACTGTCCCTTGTCATCCAGTGACGACACTGGGTTTGGGCTCTTGACTGTGTCTGTTGGGCCCTTTCCTTCCTGAGGTGGTGCAAGAAGACCCTTGGGGCCGATCTGCTCTGAGATATGCTGCTGAATGACACCATGTTTATTCTCTGGATGGACTAAATGTCTTTTGGTAGTTTTAGGGGTGTGGTGTGACACAATGGATCCTTCTGAAAACCAGACTTTTGACTTCGGCATTAAGTAAAACAAATGAGACCACAAGTGCAGAAAAAAAACATACAAAAAAAATATAGTGTGCGAAAACTGATGAAATTAATAGAAATCTCTTTTTTGACTTTTGCAATCAGAATTGTTATACGGATTTTTGATACTATCTAGTATGCTCAAAGAATTTTTTATTTTTTTTAAAATATGTTTTTCAACAATTAGAAGCTACAAATCTGTTGCAATTACAAGGTTATTATCGTGAATTAAAACTAAAACCAAAGCCATTAACACTTGTTGATTAACAAATTGTTTTTGTTACTTGAAATAAAATATATGGTAACTAAAATATAACAACATCAAATATAAAATTAAACTTATTTTATTTCAATTATTTTCCAAAGCAGTATTTCTCAATTTCTTTAAAAGTACTAAATTAAATTAAATAAAAAATGTATAAATAAAAAGTAATAAATCCTATATAGACATTTGTATAAAAAATAAAAAAAAGCTAAAACTTAAGCTTATATTTTCAGTTTTCACTTTAATTTAAAAATGACAAAAACCATATATACAGTAAAAAATACAACAGTATATCAATGATCCTAAATAGCACTGGTTGCAGTCTGGCATCTCAAGTGATTTACTCATTATAATTATTCATAAAATCAGCACGGTATAGTTTTATGCTTTTGTTTTACGGTTTAATAAGACTTATTTATTTTACAAATTACAAGAACCCCTTGTAAGAAGAAACCACTCCATGAAAAAATGCCACATTCTTCAGTTATTTCGGCATTCAATGCATTGTCTGAAGGACCACAAACATGTTTCAGAACATTTCTATGCGTCTTTACTGGTTCATATGACATTTACCCTACTAAACCACATCTCATCAAACCAAATCCTGGTCATTTATTTCTAGACCACTGTCATTCAGAAGAAAAACAATGTGGTGTAATCTCTGAATTGTTGCAAGATGTTGATTAACAAACCACACTAACAAACTGAGATTAACAAACCACCCTGTGCATGCAAGCCAGAAAACTAGAGAAAAACATAATTTCTCATGTAATGCAAAGACATTTAGACTATTTTATGTGTCCAAATACTTCTTGGAGTGACTGTACTTGGAAATAAAGGTAATGTAAGGACAATCTCAGTTGGAACATTGTTTCTAGAAACAATGCAACAAAACGTGTCATAATTTACTCATGCATGTCTTTCTTACATGCAATCAACAATAAAAACGTAAAAACGTCGCCTTTCAGGTCATTGTTCACATGTCTTTTTGCTGTGAAATCTTTAGATTTTTATAAAGTAAATGCAAGAATAACTTTTATATTGTTAACAATATTTCAAGATAAACCCTTAGCATCTTAGGTTTACTTGATTATCAATATATGTAATTATTTTTTTTTTTAGAAAAATCATGTTAAAATGTGTTCAAATATGATCCATCAGGTTTTTGAGGAATGTTTATTTGTTAATATTCCAATATTTATATTCATTTTAAGTAGACTGTTACCGATTTACATGACAAGCTATCAGAATGATTTACTTTTTGGCATATAAATATCAGCATCTGCACCAGATTGCATATTTTTGCTCAGCATTGGGCAAATTGTGTTTTTCTTCCTCGAGTATGAGCTCCATATTCTCATTATATCATATAATATCATATATACAGGTGCATCTCAATAAATTAGAATGTAGTGGAAAAGTTAATTTATTTCAGTAATTCAACTCAAAATTATGATTATTAATATATATATATATATATATACACACCTGTTTGAACAGAAATTTAATTTAAGTCGATTTTAACTAGAAAAACATAATTGTGTCTGGACATAAATATTCTCATTACTCTGTTACAGTAATGAGAATATAATGAGAATCATCAATAAATTAATGAGAATTGCAAACAACGACAAAAAAAAAGATCCAGTTGCATTCAAGTGATGAGAATTGGGGGTAAACATGTTTAATTTTCTTGAAAATAATGTCACATTGCACAATAACTTAATGATCCTAAAATATGCTTTATTATCTTTATCCAAAACAAGTTAACAATGATAACAATTTAGCAATGAAACTCTTTGCTGAAGTACTCGTTAAGACTGCTGAATTAGAGCTCTTGAAGGAAAAGTTCACCCAAAAATGAGGATTTGCTGATAGTTTTCCCACTCTAAGGCCATTAAAGATATAGATAAGTTTGTTTCTTCATGAAAACAGATTTGGAGAAATTTAACATTACATCACTTGCTCACCAATGGATCCTCTGCAGTGAATGGGTGCCATCAGAATGAGAGTCCAAACAGCTGATAAAAACATCACAATAATCCACACAACTTCAGTCCATCAACTAATGTTTGGGAAGTGAAAAGCTGCGTGTTTGTAAGAAACAAATCCATCATTAAGGTGTTTTAACTTCATAAATCATTGCTTCAGGCCAAAACACGAATCCATAATAACGCATCCTCCATCTCCATCCAAATCCACAGACATGTTTGTTTAGAACTCTTTTTGCTTGTAAATGGTGCTTAAAGATGGATTTGTTTCTTACAAACACACTGCTTTAATTGATGGACTGGAGTGGTGTGGATTATACTTGTGAATTATTGTGATGTTTTTATCAGCTACATCATGGATGCCCCGAGGCCTTTTCAGAAAATCTTCGTTTTTGGATGAACTGTCCCTTTAAACCAGAGGTCCTCAACTCTGGCCCTCGGGGTCCACGTTCCTGCAGAGTTTAGCTCCAACCTTGATCAAATTCACCTGCCTGTAACTTTCTAGTAATACTGAAGACCTTGATTAGCTTGTTCAGACAATTTGTGCAATTGCTTGGTTGGAGCTAAACTCTGCAGGAAAGTGGACCTCGAGGGCCAGAGTTAAGAACCCCTGCTTTAAACCACCCATGCTGTTTACACAAAGACAGAGAAGCAGTGCAGAGACTCATCAAATCCTTAAACATAAATACATTATTTTAAATTGTTAATCTTTGCTACAGGCAGATTTCTTCATATTATTTCTCATTGTTAAGCATAGAGCAGATTTGCATGTGCTAGATTTTGTAAATGTGAAGTCTTGCTGCCCTCTAGTGATAATAAAACAGACTGCTCAGATTACAGGGCTCAGTTCTCCTCTTAAACACATTTATCAGATTCAGTACACAGAGAAAGTCAAAGATAATCATTATAATAACATGTCTATCTAACTTCAAGACTGGACCAATACATTTACTTTTGAGAATGATGAAAATGCATGAAAATGTGACAAACATTGTAATTTTACCTTTTGTGACGATGAGCATGCCTCCACTCTGCAGAAGATCTCCACTAAAGTTTCCATGAATTCCTTCTGCACTTGCCTACAAGAAAGTGTGTGATAAACCGGAAACAGAAGAGTTGAAGTCTTTAAAAGGTTTAAGATTGCATGCACATCTTGAAATGATGAGCAATTATTTAACACCTAATATAAGGTCATTATTAAAAAATGTTTACAAATAAGACACCTAATAAGTCATTTAATCACTAAGTCTCATTATACCAGAATTATAATTTACAAGCGCAATGTGTAATGTGTTATAAATACCTTTGAGGCAATTTCTCGTACGCTCTTTCCCATAGCAGCTGGAATCACATTCACGGCATTGTACCTGAGTTTGAAAACCAGAAATATTTTTGTTCATTTTGACATGCTTGTGTCACAGTCCATCATACACATTAAAAAAAAAAATATTCATGAAACATATATTGCAAGTTCCCTCATACCTTTTAAAGCCTAAATCGTTGTAACACTGTTTCTTCTCATCAATGTAGATGTCTAAAACAAAGACAAAGTTAAAGATTCACAGGATCAGGAAGATGGTAATGATAGCCAAGGTAAACACAGGCATGGTAACAGGTCAAAGAATTACAGTAAAAGACAGGAATTCAATCACCAATAAATTCAAAACTAAACACACACAATGTGCTTAACCTGAGGTTATCACTTATTTCACAAGAAGGAATGCAAAGTAATGCATTTGCATTAACAAAACCTGAATCCAGCATGATTCGAGAATTTGAGCATCTTGGGCTTCAATATAAGCAAGAAAGTCTGTACAAAGTCACATGATCAGTGTTACTCAGTAACATGCATTTATAAATAGTGCCCAATCTGAAATAATTTGCCTACCTTTTATAACATTATACCATGCATTATTTTAATGTTTTCATTTTATTTACAGGTTTAAATGTTTATATCTCTTTAATTTTTTTAATTTTTTAAAATATTTGTAAGAAATTAAAAGTTGTTTTATTTTCATAGTTTCTTTTTATTTACAGGTTTAAATGTTTCTATCCTTTATTATATATATATATATATATATATATATATATATCTCAAAAAATTTGAATATTTTCTCAAAGATCAATCAAAAAAAGATTTACAAAACAGAAATGTTCAAGATCTCCAAAGTAGGTTTAATTATGCACTCAATACTTGGTTGGGGCTCCTTTTGCATGAAGAGAATTACTGCTTCAATGTGGCGTGGCATGGAGGCGATCAGCCTGTGGCACTGCTAAGGCACTATTGAAGCCCAGGCTACTTTGATAGCAGCCTTCAGCTCGTCTGTATTGTTTGGTCGGATGTTACTTATCTTCCTCTTGACAATACCCCTTAGATTCTCTATGGGGTTCAGGTCAGGCATGTTGGCTGGCCAATCAAGCACAGTAATATCATGGTCAGCAAACCACTTGGAAGTGGTTTTGGAACTGTGGACAGGTGCTAAAGTCCTGCTGGAAAAGGAAATCAGCATCTCCATAAAGCTTGTCGGCAGATGAAAGTATAAAGTGCTCCAAAATCTCCTGGTAGACGGCTGCATTGACTTTGGACTTGATAAAACACAATAGACCAGGGGTCGGCAAGTAAGTTTGGGCCAAAAAAATTTTCAGAACATAGTCAAAGGATAATTTAAGAAGAATATTAATTGATGAAAAATGCATCCAGAATTGCCTGAGACGGACTGTTACAGTGTCTTTTGTAACTGGTAGTGAGCTGTTACTCTGTGTTAAATCCTGTAGTAGGACAGTCATTAACAAAAAGCCACATTTGTGTGGTGGTGTCGGGGTTTTACACTGGATAAATTAATAAAGCAGAGTACTGACACGCAACCTGGCAAGTATCTTCATTCACCAACTTGCAACACAGACCGCCTTGCTAAAACACACATATGTGGGAGATGCGGAATGGATAAAAAAATAATTCAAAAAATAAAAGAGGACTTGGATAAGCCCATTAATAGCATGCTTGAGTTATGCTCTTAACAAACTATGTTTTATTTCCTCTTTCCATATTGTGAATAATAAATGTGTATCATTTTAATTTGCTTGTTACACAATGGAGCCTAACTTATTGTAATAATTATTTGACGTAGCCTACTTTTACACTCAGAATTATTGCTTGGCATCCTCACGTACTAAACTGCATTTTTTTTTAATTGTTTGCGTGCTGGAGGTACGCTGTTATGTCGTGTGCAGAGTGGTGTTAACATTTAAGCTAGCTGGTGAGAGAAAATGGCACTATCAAAGAGTCTAAAGAGGAAAGTTGACAGCGAAAATAGGGCATACAAAGAAGAATGGAAAGACAACTATGCATTCATCCTACCTAGTTTTGTGAATGCAAAGCCGGTGTGTCTTATCTGCAACGAAGTTGTTGCTGTTTGCAAAGAATATAATATTAGACGGCACCACGAGACGAAGCATGGCACCTTCAAAGTGGCCTTTCCGCTCCAAACAGAGGCACGAAAGCGCAAAATTGAAGCACTGACAGCAAGCTATGCACACAGCAGCAGGATCCTAGGGCCTCACAGATCAACAGAAAGTGACAAGTGCGTCCCTAAAAGCGTCTTGGCTGCTCGCACGACACAACCGGCCATACACTGACGCAGAGGTTTTCAAAGAGGTTATGGTGACAGTTTCGGAAGAACTGGTGGCTACTGACAAGTCGATGAATGCTATTATTGCCTCTGTGAAACAGTTACCCCTATCTGCGAGGTTCGCTATCCGGCGCATAGATGCGCTGCCGGATGCTGTGCAGGAAGTTATGATCAGTGGTCTCAATCAGGCCAACTACTTTTCCCAAGCCATTGATGAGAGCACTGACAACACAGATGTAGCCCAGATGTGCGTCTATGTTAGATACTTTGATGGAAAAGTGTGCCCTTCTAACCTTATTCCATTAGAAGGGCACACGACTGGGGACATTATATTTATGAAATTGGAAGAGTTGTTTAGGCTGCATTCATTGTCATTTGAGAAGGTTAACCTAATCGTGACAGACGGGGCTCCTGCTATGGTGGGAAAGCAGAGATCTGGTAAGCAGAGTGAAGGAGATCGCCCCCCAAATACATGGACTGCATTGCCTCATCCACCAGAGTGTCCTCTGTGCCAGGCTCAGCGGTGAGCTAAAGGAAGTAATGGATAAAGTGATGAGAGTCATTAATTTTGTCAGGGGAACATCAAACACACAGCATCGTCTTTTCCGACAACTTGTGGTCGAGTCAGAAGAGGCCACTTACGATGACTTGCTGCTACACAATGACGTGTGCTGGTTAAGCAAATGAAACGCGTTGGGCCGCTTCTGGATGAGGTCAAGGCGTTCCTTAAATTAAGCAAGATTATTGGCAGCAGCTGATCACCTTGCCCTCCAGGAAGATGAAAAATTAATGTCTAATGTTGCATTTTTAGCGGATACATTTGGCCACCTAAACCAGCTTAATCTGCAGCTACAGGGGAGAGGCAAAACCATAGCGGACATGGTTGAAAAACTGGAATCATTCACGAGGAAGCTGGAGTTGTTGGAGTCAGATATATCAACTGGCCGGCTGCTACATTTCAGTACACTAAAAACATAGGCCCTGGGACAAGTGACAGAGCTGATGGTGGACTTCATGAAGCAGCTACAAGCCAACTTCACTTCTATGTTTGAGGACTACTCTATCCCAAAGGATATTATTGCTTTTGTGCATGACCCTCTCACAGTCCGACCAGGAGACTTCTCCTCCCTGGTGAAAAAAATGATCCCCTTGTTGGACGGGGCAGCATTTCAGATGGAGTTAATTGATTTCCAAACAACTTCCCTGGTCATTGATGCGCTCAGAAATGCGGAGTCTGTGAGTGCCTTTTGGGTGGCATGCTTAAAAGAGTATAGCACAATCAAAACACTCGCATTTTATGTGCTGACAATGTTCCCTTCCACCTATACATGCGAGTCGACCTTCTCATCAATGAATGCGATAAAGACACATGAGAGAAATCGACTGACGCTTAAAAACCTGGGCCCTCATTTATCAACAGTGCGTAGAAAAGGTTCTATATTTTGTCCTAAGAATGAAATTTAGAATGTGCCTAAGTACAAGAAAATCCGTATTTATCAAACGTGCGCACGCAGTTCTTAAGCACATGGGTAAGCAATCATTGTTGATAAATCCCACATGTGCGTAAGTACCATGCTCGTTCACGTTCACGGTCATTTGCATTCGGAAACGCCTCCAAT